GAGGGCGTCACGGAGGGGGGCGCTGGGAGTGGGGCGGGCAGCTCCAGAGGAGGCAGTGATCGAACCCGGGGCGGAGGGGGAGGGCTGCCAGCCACACACACTGTTCTCATTAAGCGCCGGGGGGAGAGAGAGGAGGAAGGGTCTGGTTACAGACCTCTGCGCTGTAACCCGATGCCTCACTGTGCTACATTGTTTCACAGAATCCAGCTCTCTCTCGGCCTCGGCACACGGGCTCGGGCCAGGGGGGGGTCACCCTCAGGACCCCCAGAGCTCCAGAGCTCCAGACCCGCGGGGCTGGAGCTGGGGAAAATATCCAGGGACATCATCGGGAACTCCCAGGAGAGTCTGTCGCTCAGAGCCTGCCCTGCACTCCGGTGTCCCTGTCCGCGCGGTCTCTCATCCACCCCTCTCACGAGACACATGCCCGGGCACGAGGGGGCTCACGGACCTGTACCCCGTTCTGCGTTCTCACCCCACCCAGAGCGATCTGTGCTGGCACCCAGCTGCTAGGCCGGGCACCTGACTGGAGCAGTCTGAACACAGTGCAAAGCTCACGGGTGCGATGGCTGTACCTCCCCTGGGGTTTGAACCCGCAGCCCTCCTGTTACGAGCCCACCACCCTAGGACCACTCCTAGCTCCGGCAGCTACGCGCGTCCGAAATGTCACCCGTGAGCGCCGAGCGTGGGCGGCGGAGCCTGTCCCAGACACCCACAACTCTTTGTGTAAAAGAAGGCCTTCCTTTTTCCCCAACTCTAACTGGACTCCCCTCGAAGTTTCCAATGAGGAGTTACGAAGCCTGCAGCAGCTCTGTCTTCTGTCTGTCTGTACCCCCCCCTCATGTTTGACCAGACACCTCCTGTCGACCTCCTGCGTCCGTGCTCCTCTGTGCACCTGAAGTGCGGACTAGTGTCCCTACAGTGACCCTCATACGGGAGCTGACCTCTGGGGCTGACCTTTAACCTTTCACCTTAGCGCGACAGCCATGACATCTTGCCGATCCGCCACAAAGGACACGACCCAGAGGGTGGGATCTGGGCAACACCTTCCTGTCCCTCAGGTGAGGCTGCCTGCTGTTCGAGGGCACCTGAACAGCATTTAGGGGTCCGGGCACAAGCCAGGAAGTCCCGAAAGGGCTGAAAGAGCTCCACGCGCGAATCCCTTCTGCTTTGATCAAGGTCTTGGAATCGAAAGGCAGCTGCAACATTGCGCGCAGAAAGAGATCTTTGCGGTCGTTATTCCCACGGCTAGACGCTGTCTGCCCGAATCCCTCAGCCTGTCACCTGCCAGTTTGACCGCTCGCCGGGAGAGCACTCCAGGGCGAGGCTCTTTGTCATATCTGTTCTGGTGACTGTCATATCCTCTGCTCCTGTTGCACAGGCACGGGATCGCGACAGAGACCCGGAAGCTCAGAGGTTCACACTTTCGGGCGAGACCTCTCTTTCGCAGTTTCCCGACTGCAACGGTTCTTAAAAAACCCCGACACCGACCCAGCGGCGAGACCAGGACAGTAAGACCCGTTATAAACCCGTTTAATTTACAAGCCCACATTTTCAGATACAGTGACAGGGGGGAATCGGCGGCCAACCCAGGTCGGGTTTCAGCAAGAGTCCACAGACACACGGGCGACTAGAGTCTCTTTCCCTTCGTCTGAGTCCGTGCTGGAGGAAAAGCAGGCAGATCGCCCGGCTGCAGTTCTCACTCCGAGCGGCCAGGGGGCGCCCTTGCTTCAGGCTCCCCAGTGAAAGCTGTAGGGTGGGCTGGAAAGGCTCACCCCTTCGTCCTCAGGCCCTTCTGGGTGCCGGACCGGCTTGTGACGTCATCCCCAAGCAGGACGGTTAATAACTGAGGGGGGGGTGGCGACCTCGGTTGAGGGGGGCTGGTTGCGGCCTGGGGGTGCTGCACCGGGGGTCCCCTCACCCCCAAGCTGTTACTCCACACTGGATTCCGAGGACGTGCAGGCGCATCGATGAGTAATATGTCATTGGAAAAGAAGTGGACATTTCTGATGTGTCCCCAAAATGCAATATATACATACTCCTGTATTTGTCCATTGAAAGTCCACTGGGACCGAGGGATAAAGAACACACGTACAGAAACTCACACACTCGTGTATATATAGGGATATGCAGACATTTCAGCCTATCACTCACCAGGTACACTGGCGTGCGCTCTACCCCAGCGGCGGGCGGCGCGCTGGCTGGCTGCGATGCGCGCACCCCGTCCTGCTCGTCATCGCCGCCCGGGGAGCGGGGACGCGCCGCCGGCGGGCCGAGTCGTTCCAGCGCGATGATCTCACCGCCTGCTGGAGCGGCCAGGCCGGGGGCGAGACGTCCGCCAGCGGGCTGGTGTCGGGGACGGTGAGGGGGGGCGCCAGGCGATTCTGGTGCCCCGGTACCCCCGGTGGGCATCCAGGGCGCAAATTTCCGGATGTGAAACGACACGCCAGCGGGATCGCTTCAGCAGACCCTGACAGTCCGGCGAAGCGGTTCAAGAGCTCGCAAATCCCGAGCCGTTTAGGGGGGAAGGGATTACCGAATATTCCCGACTTTTCTATAAGGCTCTATAAAGCACAACATTCCTAGATGATACATACACAGTGTGTCTAAAAACGGCCTCTCGGAGGTTGTTTTGGGACGTGTCAGCGCCGGAGAAGACTTTCTTTTTTCTTTCATTTTCCATTTTCGCGACTGAGCCGAGCTGTTTCAGCGGCAGCTGAGGGGAAAAAAAATAATGAGAGAGAGAGAGAGAGGACTCCCCCCCCACCGGCGCAGTTTGAAAGAAAAAATAAACAGCACCAGGGACAGAAATGTAGACCCCCCCTTCCCCCCTCCAGCTCCACACACACACACACACCATTCCCACGGCCCGTCTTCGGCCTCCTGCAGAGGAATAGCGCAGCCCCTCCGGTCCGGTCCGGTCCGATCCGATCCGAGCCCGGCGGGGTGCTGTCTCAGAGCGTCTCTGTGGGTGATCGGTCGGCGGCTGAAGGGGCGAGGGGACTGCGCGCCCGGATAGTTCGGTTCTGGGTGCGGCCCGGCTCGCAGTGCGGGTCCCCCCCCCCCAGCAAGCGCTCTCGCGGTGTCCCGGGGTCCCGGGGCGGGCCGGGGTGCCGGGGGCGGCGGCCTAGACGCCCTGCTTGCCGGCGGAGCTGGTGATCCAGCGGTAGCAGTCGGCCACGCTCTTGCTGCGCGGGCGCACGGCGCAGCGGGTGCAGTACACGATGCCCAGCGCCACCATCACCACCACGAAGATGGACAGGGGCACCAGCAGGGCCACCAGCAGCCAGCTGTTGTCCCGGCGCTGCCTGGAGGTGCCGCCGGGGGGCGCCTCGCTGCCCGGCGCGGGGGGTGTAGGGGTGCCGGGGGGGCCGGCTGTCGAAGGGGGGGAGGGAGGGCTGTGCCAGCCGGAGGTGCCCCCCTCTTCGTCTTCGGGTGAGGCTCTGCCCCCCGAACCCGCCGCCGCCGCCGTGGCCCCTGGGGTGCCTGGAGAGGGGGCGCCCTGGTGCTCGGAGGCGGCCGCGGGGGGCGTGGAGGGCGGGACCTCCCCTATCCTTCCCGTTCGCCACCGGTCGGGCGTGGGGTCAGGGGGGGCCGCCCGTCCGGAGGTGGGGCGACCCCGATTCTCCGGGTGGGTCGTGGTCAGCCCCTCGGGGGGCGTGTCGGTCTCCCAGCCGAAATCAGGGGGTACCCACACCAGGCCGGGCTGGTAGGTCAGCCAGTCCAGAGCTGGGGTGTCTGTGGGCCAGTCCAGAGGTGGGGTGTCTGTGGGCCAGTGGGGGGGTGGGGTGTCTGTGGGCCGGTCGGGGTGTGGGGTGTCTGTGGGCCAGTCCAGAGCTGGGGTGTCTGTGGGCCAGTCCAGAAGTGGGGTGTCAGTGGGCAGGTCGGGGTGTGGGGTGTCTGTGGGCCAGTGGGGGGGTGGGGTGTCTGTGGGCCAGTCCAGAAGTGGGGTGTCAGTGGGCAGGTCGGGGTGCGGGGTGTCTGTGGGCCAGTCCAGAGGTGGGGTGTCTGTGGGCCAGTCCAGAAGTGGGGTGTCTGTGGGCAGGTCAGGGTGCGGGGTGTCAGTGGGCCACTCAGGAGGTGGGGTGTCTGTGGGCCAGTCCAGAGGTGGGGTGTCCGTGGGCCAGCCGGGGAGCTCGGGGGCCCAGCCGAAAGC